TACCGGCACCAGTTTTTCCGGCAAATGCTTCTAGCTAAACAAATTAAGACTGCCCGCCAGAACTGTGGGAAACACCCCCTTAAAATTTCAGCTTTCTAGCTTTCCTGGCTCCTGAGTTAGAAACATACTGGAAAAAACTTCCACGGGCCGTGCGTGGGTACCACATACCTGATGTCTGGGTTTGAGCTCGTTGAGACTTACGCGGAGGGGAGCCTTCTCTTAAAACTACGGTCTTCTAGCTTTTCAGGTTCTCGAGTTAGCAACTTACTCGAGAAAAATTTTGGTGAGCCCATGCGTGGATACCACGTATACATGAGGGCTGGGTTTGCGCTTAATGAGACCTAGGTGGACGGGGAACATCCTCTTAAAATTACAGTCCCTTAGCTTTTCAGGTACTTGAGTTATCAACTTACCCGAAAAAAACTTTGGCGGGCCTGTACGTAGGTACCACGCTTACCCAGGGACTGGGTTTCAGCTTGTTAATACCTACTTGGATGAGGAACATCCCTTTAAGATTTCAGCTTTCTAGCTTCTCAATTCCCCGAGATATCAACCTACCCGTAAAAAACTTTGGCGAACCCCTAAGCCGGTACCACGCCTACCAGGGGGATGGGTTTGAGTTCATTAATAGCTACTTCGGGGGAGAGGGGGAGGGGAGCATCCCTTCAAAATTTCAGCTTTCTAGCTTTTCTGGTTCGCGAGTTATCAACTTACCCAAAAAAATTTTGGCGGGCCCGCATGCGGGTACCACGCTTACCTGGGGGCTGGGTTTCAGTACACCAATACCTACTTGGATGGGAAAATCCCCTTAAAATTCTAGCCTTCTGGCTTCTCTGATTCGTGAGTTAGCAGCTTACTCGTAAAAAACTTTGGCGGGCTCCTACGTGAGTACCACACGGGTAAGACCGCCCATTTTGGGGGTGGGGCCCGCACGTGTACGTAGATCAAGTCCCCAAAGTTTCAGCCCTGTAGTTTTTGTGGGTCTCGAGATGAAAAATCGGTACAGACGCGCAGCGCACACACAGACACACACAGACGACCTCTCGTCAAAATGCTTTTTCCACATTGCATAACTGCAAAAAACGCATAAGAATAAGAAAACGATTAAAAAAAGTAGACGTAATGCTGTACAAATTAAGAGACCATACTTCGTGATGGCGGATTTACTAATTGGATACTGACTGCCCAACACACTAGCCATCTCCACATAACCAACTGGTAGTGATTCACGCATTTTTCTCTTCTGTTCGGCAAACGAAGTAATTGCCGGAGGAATAAAGCGCTCCAGAAGATCGGCATAAGTGACTTTTCGGCATACACTAACGGTAAGATGTAGCGAATGGACAGTTTTATCGGTGAACCCCTGAAATTTGACCGAAATAAATGCCACGATCGATTTTTTTCTACATGAAACACAAGCACTGATTCGCATGATCACTGAGGAAGCGAATCTAACATGAGTATATTTTGAACTTATGCAACTGCCAAGCGAAACAAAAAGAACCCGCTATTTGTCACTCACTGTGTCAAAATACTTGATCCATAAGACGAATTAAGTCTCTGGCACGATGCCAGTGGCAAGCAACGCTGCTTTTCCCAATTACGACCAAGAATATTTTACGAAGTACCTGATGGATGAAGCCTCGCGGTATGTAGAGTAGATCGCCTTGTTCCAACCAATCGTCGAAAATAAGACTAAGACCCACTACATCTTCGTCAGTAAAATTATCTGTAAAAAAAAGCTTACCAAAAGAAAATCATGCATTACAAACTGCAACACGCTCCGGCGTTCTTTTCATGCCTCACTGAAATATCCCTCAGAAAATTTAATGCAATGCCAGCTATATGATTACAACTGAAGAAACATAAACAATAAAAGTCCAGTAATTACAAGTTTTTCAAAATGATTAGGCCCAAAACCCGCGTCTCGGGAAGCGAAAGCTCTCGGAAGCAAAACACATGTCTGTAGCAACGGCTCCCTGTCAAGGCTGTTGATATAAACAACTCATTCTAGAGTTGCTTGAAAGTATGATGCGGACAGGTTCGACTTCCTGGAATATGCCAGTGAAAATTTAGCAACATGTCAAGCAAACGAGTCGCAGAAGGACTGGTTGTACTATTGCCAAAGTTGTACCTGGGTATCCAGTAAGATAGCAGTGCTAATTGTCACCTCGCCGTGCCTACCAGCAATTGACAATTCAAGAAGCAAAGGATTTTATGGAAAACTACATAAACAACCTTTGCCGCAAGCTGATCAGCTGGTTGTACATGCCCACAGTTCGTACTATCAGAAATTTCATAAGCGTACAAAGATTGCGCATTTTACACGTAATGCTCATGGTGGATGGTGCCATTTGAAAATAAATAAAACAATAAGCATACGGCACCAGTGCTATCTGTTAAAATCAAACTAACCACTGGAAATGCGGGGCAACATTCCATCTTCGTCCGGAGGTGCATAGAGCTTCCAGTGTTTTCGACCTTCCAACTGCAGCAGAAAGGCATCAATGTCATCCCAGTGAGGCGCAAAACCGGCTTTATTGGCAGGAGTTATGTAACTGTAAAGCAACAACAATATATGAAACAGGCATTCAAAGAAATATGCGAAAGATGTGCAGTACTACCAGTAAAACGTATTACGTGGAGTAAGCCATGCGTCATTATTCTGCAGTCTTGAAAATTCAGTAAAATACCCACCACGCCTTTTGTCGGATGATGGCTGTTACAGAACGGAATATTAAATACTGAGCTGGATGAACACAACTGTGACAGGAGGAACGCAAAATATTTAGCATTTCTTTCGAAAATACAAAAAGGAAACGAGCGCTCAAACAACAGGAGGATGACTACTGGCTGATGTAACTTTGGTAACAGCAGTCATGGAAAGTTGTAAGCAATGATGGCAGCTTATCAGATTACAGTAAATTACAGCAACATACGTATTGGCTCCGACAAAACAGCCAAATACTTCCTGTAGCAAGTCGCAGTAATACCATACAGTGTCACAATAACTCTGAGGATTTGTGAATTGCACCGAGTAGCCGGACTGAAAAAAGAAAAACCGGAGCAGTTAATCAAGCGAAGGAATGTGGCTGTGCAGAATTCGCAGGTTCTAACCTGAAGGCTATCCTGTACATTGTAAGGATATACTTTTCCAACACCATTGAACGTCTGTCTTCGCTGGTTTTCATACTGAGCAATGTTTACATTTGTGCCATATTCAATATAATTCTGAAAAAAAAAA